GGTTTTTATATATATATGCATTGTAAACAAAACAAGCAAATTAACATTTCCATCATCTCACATAACCATTTTAAAAATTATTGCGTGTGTTTGTGTGGTGAGGGCACTTATGATTTACCCTGTTAGCAAATTTCATATAGGTTTGATTCCTGGCTAAGGAAACTTTTTGGTTTCTTCTCTGCCTACCAACCTGTTAGGGAGCCCCACCTTTAGTCCCTTTTTATTCATATTGCTTACCTGGAAACTTAATTTTCTGACTGTTTGAGAGTTACAGGTACTTAGAGGGTATTAAATCTATAGAGAATATGTCCCTAGTTACCACTAAAAGTAAATTATTTTTTCAGTAAATGGATGGCAGTTCAAATTTGTGGCTGGAAAAATCCCAGCATCTCTGTACTAGGGATGGGTAGTAGGTGTGGATTATAGCCTCACTCAACCTTCCTCCTTTTAGGTACTGCTCACCCTTCAGGGGCAAAATATGTGAAGACCTCCAATCGTTTCTCAGTCTAGCCAATGTCCATGTAGTTACTGAAAACCTCTCACAGACTCTGAGAAACTATTGTTTTCCTTCTTTTCAAGTATTGTTTTGATTTAGTAACTTTTCATCTCCTACCACATTGACAGGAAGTAGAGAGACCTTATTTCAAGGATGGCTTATGTGGTGTTTAAAATAACCATTTTTATTCTCAAACAACAGCTGCATTAACAATGACTTTGACCAAGGAAATGTAACTTTAGGACTTAAGTTACTAAGATGTAAAATGGCTATGTTACTTTTTTCTCCCTGACTTAAAGATCTCTGTATATTGATTTATGATACTTGATTTATAATAAGAAATATGTATTTGTTTTTTTGTCTCTGGTTCCTTACAGCTCTCAAAACCCCTGGAATTTCCTGAGCTATAAGAGCAATGAGAGCATCTTTTGTTATAATATTTTGTCCCTTGTCCTCAGTTCCTAAAATTACTTCAAAGGCATAGAGGTGAAATGGGTGTACTGTTATTCATAACAAGCTTCTTTTCACCACTACTAGGTTTATGTTGATTAGATTGTATGAGTGTGGAAGTGGTTCAGAACTGGGTGTAGGCTAAGAAGCCGCAAAGCCTCCACAGTCACAGGTGGGGAATGGGGAAGCAGAGGGACTGGTTGAGAGATACTTTGCATATTGAAAAGAGTTGGCCAGTGTTTTAGTCATGCTAAAAAAAACTCTGCTTGCTTTTAACTTGTGATGTAGCCAGGAGGATGTTCCCTGGCTGCCTCACCTGCCTGCGTGAGAAGTGGTGGAGGAGGTTCCTCTGTGTCTCTGGTCCATGCCTGCCTGGACTAACAAAGGCAGCCAGAAAGAAAGGCTCTGGGAACCAGTAGGTGTAACCCAGTGTGGGAGGAGTCAGAAATGTGATTATGAGATGCCAGGATTTAAACCATAAATGAGTCATTCACTCTCTTGGCCAAGTGGCTTAGAAAGGAGAAGAAAAGTGGGAGATAGCAGCCATACAGAGCTCTCTTGACCATGTGGCTTGGGGAAGAGAAGTGCTTTTGGCCATGAAGGTAGTAATAATGAGTGAACAGACATGCTGTCTGTACTAAGGGATTAGGCCATGCTCTGCTGCTATGATGGTGTCTGCTCTGACTCTGGAGCTGCAAAGGAATTCTTTGCAAGATGCTGCCTTGCAGACTTGGACTTTACCTGCACTATTAAGATTTATGACTTTCCTGAGTTTCACTATGACCCAGAGTAATAGGGAACTACTGTATAGGGAACATGCTTTTCTGGATCATTAAAATGGAGGCTGATGAACACATATCTCAGATCTTGAAGGAGAAAGCTATTGCTTGAGGATAGCAACTTTGGTACCTTCTAGAGGGACTGGAAAACTGTTTGATCAGCTGGCTTAAGATAAGTACATGGAGAACCGCTACTTTCAGGGTTTCTGGCTTATAGCCTGGTGGGGAACATGAGAAATGCTGGGCCTTATTGAAACAGGGTGAAGCCAAGGCAAGGGGCAAATAGGGATTTGGAATGGGGTCCAGAACTCAAGGTGTCCAGGAAATATTAGAAAGATATATAGTATGTCTTCACCCCTTCCCCTGACAGGTGTGAGTTGGGGGAAGGGACACATGGAGCAGGGCCATTGAGAGCTGTTTGCATAGCAAAGGCATTGAAGCTAACCTCTGACATGGTCATTTAACATATCTATAACCTTTAGCTGGTTTCATAGACATGTTAAACATCTGTGACCATGCTTTGAACCAGGGGGATGGCAGTGACTTTCGCCCAAGACATAACTGGGAGGCAACTCCCCCTGGTTATAGCACTTGAATGAGAGCTTGGAGATAATTGGCTCCACGCCACAGGGCCACACCTGCCCAGACTTACTATGACAGCCCAGTAAAGCTGGAAGGATATGAGAGTGCTGGCAAGTGTAGCTGATTGGAGGAGGAGTCGGAAATGGGGCTGCAGAGGAAGATTGGCATGGGGATTTAAAACCAGATGTGGCAGCCATTAGGGAACCACCACTCGGCTTTGGCAGAGTGGCAACCCACCTTCCCAGCAGTTTGGCAAAAGGAGAGGACCACACGGCTGTGGCAGAGGGAGAGAACCACACATCTTTGGCCAGAGTGGGGACTCCTGCAGCCATGTGAGGGAGAACCACTCGGCTTTGCTGGGAGAGAACTATGCAGTTTTGCCAGGGTGGGGATCCCTGCAGCTTTGATGGGGGGGACCCCCACAGCTTTGGCGAGAGTGGGGACCCCGCAGCTTTGGGGTGCTTCTTTTGGCCACGTGGTTTAGGACGCAGGACAGACTTTGCCTACAAGAAAAAAGGTGAAAGGACTTTTACCAATGGGCCATTAGAAGGTGTCACATAACTTTGGATTAATTGGAGATACTGATGGTGACACAGCTGATGGTGCCAGGAGCCTGAATCACGGACTTCTACTTCTTTTCCTGATATTATGCCCCAGATTAGGGCAGAGTGAAAAGGAAGGACTATGTATGTGTGTGATTCTTTTAAGGGATTTTGGGATTTTGATGAAGACAGTGGGTCACTACTTTAAGTCTGTATAGCTTTAAATAAACATTTCCTTTCCTTTTCACAAATCTCTGGCATTGAGAGATGTCTTTCATCTGGTGGCAGACAAAATGAACCTAGAGGGGAATCCTTTCAGTGATAGTATATCATGCCCCCCTTGGACCTGTTCTGTAACATTGTGGGAAAACTGGGTTCAGAGAATGAGTGCTGTAAGTGCCCCCCCAGGGTCAGAATGTTGTAAATAAAGATCTGCTCCTTCCAGTATTGTTGGGTCTTATACCATGGCACCATGTGAATGGGCCCTAGTCTGCTCACTCACATTTTGGTGAGCTCAGTAACAAGGTGACTTTCAGAAAGCAACTAAGGACGGGGGCTGGCTGTCAAGGAAAGTATTCTGTGCCCCTTCTAACCTCTGGGGAGGGGAGAGGGGCTGGATATTAAATCAGTCACTGATGATCAATGATTTAATCACTGTCTGATGTAATGAAGCCTCCATAAAACCCAAAAGTACAGTTCAGAGTTTCTGGGTTGGTGAACGGGGAAACTTGGGAAGAGTGGCATATTTGAAGAGGGCATGTAAGCTCTGTGCCCTTTCCCTATACATTGTGCACGCATCTCTTCCGACTCACTATTCCTGTGTCATATTCTTTTATAATAAACTGGTAATCTGGTAAATATACTGACTTTCTGAGTTCTGTGAGCCACTCTAACAAATTAGTTGAATGTGAGGGGTGGACTATTAGAACATTCAATTCACAGTCCATTGATCAGCAGCACAGGTAACAAAATGGACTTGTGCTTAAAATGTGAGGGTCCTGAGAGCAGCCTAGTGGGACTGAGCCCTTAACTTGTGGAATGTGATGCAGTTTCCGGTAGATGGTATCAGAATTGAATTAAAATGTAGAAAAACTAACTGGTGACCATGAATTGTCTGTTGGTGTGGAAAACTCTTACCACCACCCACATTGGAATTGTATGCAGAATCCTTTATAAAATACTCAGAGTGCCTAAGTGACAGCCAGAGGAGAAGTCCTAGAGTCAGAAAGAAAGACATAGATTGGCTCTATAAAGAAATGTCTCTTTGACAGGATATTTTACCATCAGATAAAGTAAATGGAGGGAAGATCACAGCAATAAATGCCTATATTAAAAAACAAGAAAGATCTCAAACAATCTAACTTTATACCACAAGGAACTAGAAAAACAAACTAAGCCAAAAGCTAGTAATAAATGAAATAGATACTAAAAAGACAATATGAGATCAATAAAATTTCTAAATTTTTTTCAAAGACAAACAAAATAGATAAACCTTTGACTAGATTCATCAAGAAAAACAGAGAGGACTGAAATAAATACAGAAAGAGAAGGGATTACAACTGATATCACAGAAATACAAAATATCATGAAACTACTATGAACAACTGTATGCCAACAAACTGGACAATATAAAAAATGGATAAATTCCTAAAACATCCTAAGAGTGAATCACAAAGAAACAAAATCCAAACAGACCAAGTTTTAAGGAGATTGATTCAGAAATCAAAAAGCTCCCAACAAACAAAAGGCCAGGACAAGGTGATTTCACTGGTAAATTCTATCAAAACATTTAAAGAAGATACCAATCTTTCTCCAACTCTTCCAATAAATAGAAGAGGAGGGAACACCCCCTAGTTCATTTTATAAGGCTTGCTTTACCCAGATACCCAAACCAGATAAGGACACTACAACTAAAACAACACAAAACAAAACAAAACAAAACAAAACAAAAAATACAGGCCAATATTCCCAATGAGCACAGATGCAAAAACCTTTAATAAAATATTAGCAAACTGACTTAAACAATACATTAAAAGGATCATATACCATGATCAAGTAGAATTTATTCCAGGAATGCAAAGATGGTTCAACATCTGCAAATCAATCAATGTGATATACCACATTACCAAAATGAAAGATTAAAATATGATCACCTAGTAGATACAGAAAAAGCATTTGACAAAATTCAACATCCATTTATGATAAAAACTCTGAAGTGGGTATACAGATAAAGTAAATGGCTCAGAATTCACACATACACACACTCACGCTGCAAACCTCCAATGATGGCCAAAATAAATAATAACTAAATCACTTTTATTGGGATATAGTAAGATCTATTCCCTTGGGAAATGGAACTTGGATGGAGAAATTTAAGGAAGAGTTGAGGTAACTACCACTGAGTGTCCTAGGAAAGAAACAATCATTCCTTTAGGCTCCTGAAGTATATGTACACACAGATGTCTGTACACACACACAATCATATACACACTGGAAATTAATAGGATTCATCTACATTATTCACAAAATTTGAATGTGCAAATGTATTTAATGGTTTGATAACTAAAGGACTGTGAAAGATCAACTCAAAATCATAATGAATTAAAGAACTATAATTTTTCTGCTATTTGATTGTGTTGGGTATCATGAATTTATCATATAATGAATACTTTTACCACTTTTATGTATATTGTGTGAATTGTGATATATTTAGGTACATGAAGTAGAAACCTATCTTTGTTGTTTAACCTTATAACAGAATTTTATTTTTCTCACATAACAATAAGTCTGAAGGAAGGGAATCTAGGCCCCCTTCTATGATTTTGCTCCATCATCCTCACAGTGAAGCTTTTATCTTCATGCTTGTCAAATCATGGAGGCAAAATGGTGTCTCCCTCTTCAGTTGTGCTATAGGCTAGAAAAAGAGAAAGGGACAAAAAGGGAGTCTGTATTAGAAAAACAAAAGTATTCCTAGAAGTCTCTAGCAGATCCATATTTTTATCATATTGTCTACACTTTTGTTACTCGGTCACTTCTGATTGAAATGGAGTCTATGAAGGTGAGAATTTTATGTGGGATTATGGCCAATCTGAAGAAAAAGGAGTTCTATCAGTAAGGAGGTAGTGTAGAATAGCTCTTGGGTAGGAGATTAGGGTTGTCTAATGATACATTGAACTGAGGGTGCCATGTAATCACAACCAGTATTTTTAAGCAATTTTTCCAGAGTAATGCTGAATGTCAATAACTATTCATTTTCATAATTAGGGTTTTATTTATTAGTAAGAATAAGATCATTATAGGCCATTAATGGTTTTTGTTTACTAGATTATTACATATATACAAATATATGTAATAACTAAATAACTGTATGCATATAGATATGCATACATATCTATACAATTTAAATGGTAGCTTTTTGACAACATCTAACTTCTAAATCATAAAACCTAAACTCTGAACATTTTCAATATCTGTTTCAAATAACATTTTCTTAGTGCTCACACACACATTGATTGTAGAATACCATGTCCTAAATGAATTCTTTAAGCGAAATGTGGAACACTTATTTAAGAAACTCTTCTGTGTTTTATAACTTTGATAGCCTTAATATCTAAAATTCAGTATTTGATAGACCAGTTTTTTAAGTTATTAAGATTGTTACCTCTTAAGGAATATTTTTTCTGCACTTATAAAAATATTTAATTCTGTTCTATTTTCCACTAAATTATAAATCTTAGATTCTTTGCATTTTTCAAAACCAGTTTTTAACACTGATCATCAATATGAACAAATTTTTCAATGACATCTAGGTGGCGGGGGGGAAGAAACTAAAGATAGAATATCTGTTCTAATGTGCTGTCTAAATGGTACTCAGAAATAAACATAATACCATTTTGTGAATGCAATATAATATTAATTCATAACTAAAGTAATATGATATTACAATTTTACATCTGATTTCAAATCCTCTGTGAACTCAAGTAGAATTAATTTTGTCTCATCTTACACATCTTATTGAATACATTTTTTCAAATCTAATTTTGGTCCTTTTTTTGTATTATATAACAGTCACATGCAAGAATGATAGAATATGAAATATATCACATTACACATGGGGCTTAGGTAAATACTATTTTATCAATTATAAAATGTGTAAATATTGCATATAAATACTTTACCCTTATTTGCTTGTAGCTATAGCATTTAGAAATAATATATAGAAATGAAACAGAAAATAACCAAATAAATATCTAAATTAAAAATTAAGAAAACTGTAAAACGTGCTCCACATGATACATGTATGTATATAAATGTATATTTTTTGATATATGATGTATGGATATATAAACCTATGATATTCTGAAAGAAACACATTGGCATAATGATATCAAACTTTCTTTTTTCCTCATAATGTCCTTTGAAGTATGCTCTGTGGGGTAATTATTCTCCTTTCCCTAAATAAAATCTTGGTTGGTTCCCCATAGCTATCTTAAATAATAAATCCTCCTGGTACTTTTGTCACTTAAACTGTTTTCACTTCTGAAACTGATAGGTGTAGCTAAAGTAATAATAAAAACTTCAAGCTTCATTCAAAATTAAAGCTTCTGCACTCCCCTAATCAGCTATGCAACAGAAGGCAGGCTTGTAGTATAAAGTACAGCTTGGATAGATACTCCTTTGTTTTCCCATTTTGTCTGTCGTCCTCTCCTCAGTTCCTAACTTGTACTGTTTCTGGCCATACCAGGATTCAAGATGGTGAAGGGAGAAGAGCTGAGGGCACAGGAAATCTCCCGCATGCTGGTATTTTGTGAGCTGCCGTCATTGCTCTCTGGTTTTGCAAGTGTCATAGCTGACTCTTGCTTTTTCCTTGAAGGGAGTTTTGGTTCCTTGGAGGGTTCTTCAGACCATTTACTCCTCTCCCCATTAACTGATAGGCATCTCTCACCAGCACCTGACTAGGATTTAGGTCTCAGGAGACCATCTCTCAGACTCTCTCTGTTGGGATCCTATTGCCTTTTAGGCAGCTCTTTTGGATAAAGTCATTTAAAATGACTCCAGGGTAGCTTTCACCCACATATGTGTGGTTCACACTTTCTCTATGTTTCTTAGGACCATTTTCAGTTATTACTTAAGTTACTTTTTAAAACAAAGATTTCCATGCTGTTGTCACAACTTGTATTTTTCAATGTATTCAGATGTTTTAATTAATAAAATTGAAATTAAGTTTAAACTATCACTGTCAGAGTTAATTTGAAATCATAAATACAGATCACTAAAAAAAAAACTATGATGTATAGCGAACACATTTGTTGACTGTGAAAACACTGAAGATTGTTAAAATAAGCCAATATCCTTCTCTTTCAGAAGAAAACACAAAGACTCAGTTGAGCAAGCTATTGCTGAATGGGGGACAGCAAAGTTTTATGTGATGAATTTAAAAGAGTATGCAGTCTAGGGTCAAACATGTGGGTTTGAGTCAAATCTTCACAATGTATTAGACATAAGAAGTAGACTGAGTTTAACTAGGCATGTAATGTCAGTTTATTTTTCTATGAAATGAAAATAACAGCTATAGCAATTACATTGATTAGATGATTAAAAATATAATATATATTGTATACATTCTTAATAATTGTTAATCTTGCCTTCTAACACTGGTCAGATTGTGTCCTTTTTATATTATGCTGTGGTTTCTTCTGGTGTTTACTTTCTTTTCTATGATTTCGGAAATAAAAAATAACATGAATATATGTGTATAAATATATTTTATCTTATTTTCAGGTCATTAATTATTACAATGCAATAGTGGGCAAGTGTGTGTATGATGTAGTACTATAGTAGGGATGTATGCTTTATTATAGTATATAAAACTATCAAACTGTATTTTTCTAGATAAAGTAAATGAATCAGTAACAATAAACCTCCACTTCTACTGAATTAATCTTTGGGATTAGTAAACCAAATAGAGATGCTCTGGCCCTGGCTAGTGTAGCTCAGTGGATCGAGCATGGGCTGCGAACCAAAGGGTCACCAGTTTGATTCCCAGCTAGGGCACATGCCTGGGTTGTGAGCTAGGTCCCCAGTGGAGGCCACATGAGAGGCAACCACACATTGATATTTCTCTCCTTCTCTTTCTACATCCCTTCCCCTCTCTAAAAATAAATAAATAAATAAATAAATAAATAAATAAATAAATAAATAAATACAAAAAAAATAAATAGGTTTTCAAAATTAATTGGAGAGAGACAAACCATTAGAACAAACCCCCCCCCCCCCCCGCCCTTGACATGCTGGGAGAAAACTCTATGAATTTGAATACATACTCACAGGACATAAATCTTGATTATTTTGAGGTTCACACTCCTCATCTTCTTCAAACAAGTTATCCATGTTGGTAGCCAAATGATAGTCAAGCTACTGCTAAATGAAATGGCTAGTATTGCCTCTGTAACTACTGTATTTATCCAAAGAGAGCACATTCCTATTGTTACCAAGTAGACAGTGTCACTACTTCCTTGTTTGTTTATACTCCTCTCATAAGTATTCATCCAAGATTTTGAGTACAATGAATGCCTAATATGATTTTGCCATGCAGTTAAAAATGCTTTTGTCTCCAATCTTATTTTTATTCTAACAGACTAAAAACAACACTGCAAGGGTCTACTCTATTAACATCTAGATGACAGTTCTAGAAAATGTCTCTTTTCTGCATCTAAGATTCCAAGATATGTTAGGTTTAACTGTTAAATCTATTTGGTGTGTTTTGCTCAACATCAGTATTATTTTGTAGGCCTACTTTATGTAGATAACAAATATTTTCCCCTCAAAAGTGTTAATGTGCTCATAATAAGCCAAGATTTATCTCTGCTTATGTACTTAATAGAATACATATAAATACATTTTAAATATTTCTCTGTGTATTTCTTATCTCTGTCCACTCAAAGGGACTATTAGTAATGGCTCAAAAACAGCAATAAACAAGTCAACAAGTCAAATTACCACATCTTGGGTCCTGGCTGGTGTGGCTCTGGATTGAGTGCCAGCCTGCAAACCAAAGGGTCACTAGTTCTATTCCCAGTCAGGGCACATGCCTGGGTTGTGGGTCAGGTCCCCAATAGGGGCCGTGTAAGAGGCAACCACCCACTGATGTTTCTCTCCCTTTGTTTCTCCCTCCCTTCTCCTCTAAAAATAAATAAAATCTTTTAAAAAATTACCATATCTTGGTTTCTAAATATCATTCTCCACTAAAAGGAAGAGGGCTATTTTCAGAGGAAAGGCAGAACCAGAGCTGGGGAAGAGAAAGAACAAGAAAAATTTGGAACATTTTTTTTTATATCATGAAGCAAAGAAATGTTCAAATAATCAGAAGGACATATCAAAGGGATAAGTAAACCAACCTGAAGTGGCCTCAGCAAACCAAATATTGGAAAATTTAAGCATTAATAAAAATTATTAGAAGTAAATTCTAACCCATTAGATTAAATAACAATCTAGGTTTTGCCACTGATTCAAACTTTAAAAACAATATATAGGATTAAATGTAAAAGCTTATGCATTTATTCATTAGTTTAGTTCATTCAGTAAATTTGTATCATGCCACCAATGAATTCAAAGAGAACCTGCAGTGTAAAATCCTCTCCCTGACTACAGATAAGGCCTAGAATAAATTCCAAGCACTTAGACACTTAGCAAATGCCAACATTTGGAAACTTTCTGGAGGGAAAAGCTTCAAGTATGTATTTCTGATTCTACAACTTTAATGCTATATTCTACAACTTCTCTGTCATCTCTTAAAGCATAGTGCTGTCATTGTTCCCTGACAGAAATGACCTTTGACTTGTCCTATCAAAAGGTCCTTATCCTCCTCCCATTTATCTTGCCAGAATTTCCACTTCTAGCTCCTCATCTAGCTATTCTATTCTGCTAGGCACTTAAGAGTTGGAAAAGCCATCATGTTCCAAGTTAAGGACAGTAAGTTCTAATAAACAAAATGTAATTAATGTCTCAAATACCACTCTACTACTCTAACTTAAAAAGATAAATCACAGAAAGCATGCTATTAAGTCACGATTTTTATTAAGTAGTAACTGGTAATCAATGCTAACTTAAGTAAAAGTAGACTGAAAGTCTATCATAAATAGTGATAACAGAAAAATTGAATTGAAGACTGTATGTCAAAAATTACTCAATATTTTCACAATGTTTCCATGAGTATCATTTGCATTAAATATGAATTATCATTTTTAATTTAACATTTTATTTTTCCATAAGAAAGTAATGATAAATATTCTACTGGCTATAGACTATAGCTATAATCTAGAGTTAGTTTATGGCTAATATCTTTAATAAATATATCATGGAATCTGTTCTGAAGATAAATATTACATTAGATAAGTCATAACAAGGAAAAGATATCCATTCTCTCACTTATTTAACAATGATTATTGATTACCTACTATATACATAGTACTACATACTAAATAATACTACTATTCTGGTCTATATGTACCCAAGGATAAATTAATAACATTTTTGTTTTAAAAAAACTCAGAAGTATTAAAGTAGGTATGCAAATTAGTAATTGCAGATCAGTTTATCAAGTGTAAAAGATAATGAAAAGCACAAAGATTGAGTAATTCTATAAATGGTGGGTGGAGAGAGAAGGGAAGGCTTCCTAAAAGTGGGAATGCATACAGTGAAGTTTAAAAGATGAGTCAGAGATTATCAGGCATGAATGAATGAATGAATGACAAGCTATGAAATCAAACAAACAGCATATACAATGTTATAGATTAGCGTGGATTAGCATGGTGCATAGTAGGAGTCAGGGACAATTAAATTTTAAGCAGGGTGTAATCTGTGAAAGGCCTATAGAATAATCTATGAGGTAGTATAATTTGAATGTACAAATTAATGAAAATGAAAATTACCTAGTCTCTGACATGTCAAGTTCCTTACCACCTCAGAAACTAGATACTTCCCATTCCCACTACCTGAAAAGTCCTTCCCCCAGATTTTTACACAAGTGAATACTATTCTTCATTTAAGTCCTGGTTAAAATATCACTCCCTAGGGCAAAAACATACAAATGGGATGAAGACAATCTATTCAATAAATTGTGTTGGAAAAATTGGATAGATATAGGTAAATAAATGAATCAGACCACCTTCTTATACTATATACAAGAATAAACTCCTAGAAAAAAAAATATAGGCAGTATAATCTCTGACATTTCCTAGTAATATTTTTTTTTCTGATACATGTCCTCAGGCAAGGAAAATGAAAGAAAAATAAATGAATGAGACTACATCAAACTAAAAAATTTTTACACAGCAAAGGAAACCATCAACAAAACAAAAAGACCACCGAATGAATAAGAGATTTGTCCATGATACATCTGACAAGGGTTTAATATCCAAAATTTACAAAGAACACATTCTACTTAACACCATAAAAACAAACACTCCAATTAAAAAATGGGCAGAGAACCTGAATAGATACTTCTTTAAGGAGAGGATATAGGTAGCCAATAGGCATATGAAAAGATGCTCAATATTACTAATCCTCAGAGAAATGCAAATTAAAACTATAATGAGATATCACCTTACAACTATCAGAATGGCTATTATCCATAAGTATATAAACAAAGTACTGGCTTGGATGTGGAAAAAAGTGAAACCCTGTGTACTCTTTGTGGGAATGCAGATTGGTACACCAACTATGGAAAACAGTATGACAGTATGGGAGGCCCTCAAGAAATTAAAACTAGAACTGCCTTATGACCCAATGATTCCTCTTCTGTGAATAATCTCAAGCCAAAACATTCATTTGAAAGGATATATGCACCCCTATGTTTATTGCAGTATTATCTACAATAGCCAAGCTATTGGTAGCAACCCAAGTGACCATTAATAGATGAGTGGATAAAAAAGCTGTGATACATATACACCATGGAATATTACTCTGCCATAAGAAAGAACATAATCTTACCATTTGCAACAATGTGGATGGAACTAGAAGGTATTATGCTAAGTGAAGTACTCAGAGAAAGACTACCATATTATTTCACTTATATGTGGAATGTAAAGAAGAAATAAATAGAATTAAGGAACATTCAAATACACAAAGAACTGACTGATGATTGCTGGAGGTGTAGGGGTTGGCAGTCAGGGTGAAGAAGATGAAAGGACTGGTAAGTTCAGTTTGGTACTCCCAGGACAATCACCAGGATATAAAGTACAACATATGGAATATAGTCGATAATATTGTAATGGCTATGTGTGGTTGCAGGTGGGTACTGGAAATATCAGGGGGAGCACTTTGTAAGATGTACGATTGACTACTATGCTGCATACCTGAAACTGATACAAAATAATGTCGAAAGTAGATTGTTATTGAAAAATAAAATTTAAAGTTTTTTTAAATAACATCCTAGAAGAGGCCTTTCCATAATTCTCACAACTAAAGTAGTACCACCCTACCACTTGTTAACATTCCATTTCTTTTGTTTTTAAATCAGTAGAGAGAATAGAAAGAGAATAAATATCAATTGCACAATTTCATGTAACATACCCACATTCCCTTCATGTTTAATTTCTTTACTCTTATAAACTACATTGAGAAAATCATGGAAATTTCTAAGCAGCATTTTGAAGTATGTACTCTAGGGATTGTTAGCTGGCAATCTTCCCTTTAACTTGTAATCAAGAGGTTTTATTCGCCAATGTCCATATTAGGATGACTAAAGCAGAAAACAACCTTTCAGAGATATTTGTATTATATTATCTCAAAAGGATAAGGATAAGGCTGTTGGGAACCGCCCTGACTGGTATCAGAGGCTGAAACCCCCGCCTAGGCTAAAGCTAAGGGAACGCCCCTGGAACTATAAGCCAGCAAGGAGACAAAAGCTTATCTTCCTGGCAGGAATGCTGCTTCTGCTGCTTTATTCATGACTGAACCCCCAAAAGCTTGGTCGGTTAGCCAAAGACGGGTAAGATTCCCCACGGGGGGAATGACCTAAGCCAGGCACGATCACTTTGGGAGGCCCCCCAAAAGAAGGACTTGGGGGGCTGCAGCAAAAGGGGGTGATGGACCCTCGCTCCTCGGCTTTGACATAGCCTGAGTCCTCAGCATCTGGGAAAAAACCTTGTCTCCCAGTTGCCTTAGTTCCCTTGCTCCACCTAAGCCTGAAACAATGACAGGGTGGTGCAGCTCGGTACTGAGAAGTGCGGATTCCCCAGGGTGATCAGGCCTAAGAAAGAATATGTAAATTACTGTGAAACCTTCTTTGTTTAGAATGCTCTCAGTTGAATGAGAAGGGTCTTAGGAGGAAGTTAGTTTTGTTCCTCAGTCTTACAGCTCTTTGACCCCCCAACTCAATAGACCGGCAGAGTTCTTTGTTTTCTATAGTTCCTTACTTCCCCCCTAATGAGTACTGTACTTTACCTGAATTATTATGCAAAATGAGCCTAATAAAAGCAGGTATGGACGGTAAATCAGCGCGCTCCCCACTGGGGGGGTGGCCATTTCGTCCCTACTTCCCCACAGAAACTAGTTTGTCTCTGTGCATGCTGTTATTTCTCGCGTGTTTATCGTCGAGCCATCCACAGCGTTCCGTGGTCACTGCTGGCCGGTGACCCATGCGCAACATAAGGCAAAATTATCAGGCAATATGACAAAACATAGTGAAGCATTTTAGAAAGAGCAGAAAAAATGTTTCTAGCCTTTTAAATCATATGCAAATATTCCTACTCTTGAGGAGAGATCTATATTTGTTTCCAGAGAAAAAGGCTATGAAGTAAACCTCCATTAGTACAGGGAAAACTTAAACTTCCTTTATTTGGCTTCCTGCTAAATTGAAAGCTTCAGGGAATGTGTATACATAACCATAAACTGACATACTGTAATATTATCTGGGACTTCTGGTCAAGGTGGAGGTGTAGATAAACACACTTCACCTTCTCCTGCAACCACAGAAAGAGTTAGAACTAGATTGCAAAACAAAAACCACCCAGAATTGTCAGAAATTCAACCTGTATGGAAGTCCAACAATGAAGGATTTAAAGAAGCCATATTCATCCAGATGGGTAGGAAGGGCAGAGATATGGAGACAGGTGGAGAGGTGCAGAGATGTGGTATGGTGCAGAGAGGCAGCTGTGGCAGCAAAACAGGCAGTCCCACATTCGTGTGGTAGATAAAAATCAGGAAGGATACCTTGGGAGCAAGCAACCGTAGCCCCAGACCAGACTGCATAGCCTAGGGTTCCAGTACCAGAAAGATAAATCCCCA